AAGACATTCTACTCTAAATCAGCCACTGCTTTCTCTTTGCTCCCAAGCATACAATCACACTTCCAGTTGCAGAGCCCAAAACTTGTGGAGTCCTCCTCGACTCCTTCCCTTCATTCACATTCCAAGGTGATCCATCAGCAAATTCTATTAGCTCAACCAACTTTTAAAATAGGTATAGCCCCCTATTGAGTGGTTGAGCATCGACCCGTGAACCAAGAGGTCAGGGTTTGATTCCCGGTCAGAGCACATACCCAGGTTATTGGCTTGATCCCCAGTGGGGGCTGTGCAGTAGGCAGCTGACCAGTGATTTTCCCTAATCACTGATGGGTTCTCTCTCTCTCTCTCTCTCTCTCTCTCTCTCTCTCTCTCTCTCTCTCTCTCTCTCCCCCCTCTCTTTATCTTTATCTCTCTCCCTCCCTCCCTCCCTCTCTGAAATCAATAAAAATATATTTAAAAATAAAATAAATAAGTACAAAATATGGCACCTTCCATGACCTCCACTGCTACCCTTCCTGAATTACTTCAATAGCTTATCTGGCCCTAGCTAGTTTGGTTCAGTGGATAGAACATCAGCCTGCGGACTGAAAGGTCCACGTTCGATTCCAATTTTGGTCAAGGGCATGTACCTGGGTTGCAGGCTCCATCCCCAGTAGTGGGCATGCAGGAGGCAGCCAATCAATGATTCTCTCTCATCACTGATGTCTCTCTCTCTCTCTCTCTCTCTCTCTCTCCCCTCTCTGAAATCAATAAATATATGTATTTAATAAAAGCTTATCTGGTATCCCTGCACCAGTGTTCCCAATAGTCAATTTGCTATGTAACAGCCAGCTTTTACCTTTTAATTTTAAGTAGGATCATGACATTTCTCTACTCAAAATCTTCAAAGGTTTTCCATTTCATTCAGAGTAAAAGTCAAAATTCTTACCATGGGCTTTAAATGTCCTATCAGCCCAAATTACCTTTGCCCTATGCCCTACACTTCCCCCCTTGTTTACATAGCACTCTAGGGACCACTACAGGAGCACTGAAGTCACCTGCTCTTCCCCTCACCTCTGTCACATGGTTCACTCACTCATCTCTTTCAGATCTCTGCTCCGATGCCACCTTTTCAGTGAAATCTTCCCTAATCACTCTTTCAAAACTACAACACCCTCATTCCTCTTTTCTGTCTCCCCCCCCCCCCACTGTTTTCCATACTATATGTATTTTACTTACTGTCTGTCTCTTTCCACAAGAATACAAACTACATGTAAGCAGGGGTTTTTTTTCTCCTATAGTTTTGTTTACCACTGAATCACCAATACCTAGTCCAGGATCTGTCCTATGCTATGTGCTATATAAATACTTACCAAATTAATGAATAAATGGCTACCTGTCCAAATATTAAACAGATTATAAGGCAGGACCAATGCTTTTTAATTTCTGTACTCCCATCTCTGAAGTACACAGAAGAGTATTTGGCACACAATTCATGTTCAATACAAGTTAAATTAGCCATTTACCTGCATGCTAATATAGAAAAGTAGTATATACAAAAATATTGTATTTTCTGTATGGCTGGTCGTAAATGCACATTCGTTGAAACCAGTGATGAAAAGGTGTCTCATCTTGGCTCTCATATTAACTGAAAGTTTTTTGTCATTATTTTCTTTAAAGCAAATGGCCAGGCAAAACACCATTATTTTAGATAGGTAGTCTTTTCACTATAAAGTGAAATAATGTGAGATAAATTATAACTAGTAGGGGAAAAAACACAGCACACTATCATGTTTATGTACGGTTTTAAAGATCTCACTCACAGATACAAAAGTAATAATTTCACAATGAGATTGGTCTATTCTAGTGCTATTTCCCCAAATTCTACTCTTGTAAATAGTGGTCAATTTAGTGTTGTTCATTGCACAGGAGATTGAATGACTAGCCAACCAGAGCCAGTGCTGCCAGGTCTCATCCAATATAATCTTTGCTTTGAATGAAGAAATTTACTACCTCAGAGCAATGGGCTTCTACAAAGTCTGTTATGACAAACATCTTTAAATCTATATGCATATCAAGCGTTTATTGTTTAGACCCATTATAATTACATTATAACCATAAAGATGATGTGATTAAAAATAATATTTAACTATTACTGGACTCAGAGTAGTTCTGTCATGTTCTCAATCCTGGATATTAGGATATGCAACTTCTACGACCTGGGAGAGACTAAAGGATGAATTGATGTTAAAAACAGAATCCTCGTATTATTCCAAAAGTTTGGGAACAAGTACCCTGGAGCTTACAAAGGTATCATTCTACAAATGATCTTTCTCCTCCAGAGGTAACCTTACTGAATGGATAAATAGGCATTTTTTTCCCATGCTGGTACTCACTCCTAATTGGCTGTCAACAGAGAAGTAACTTGGGTTTGAGTCGTGACTATTCTACTAGCTAGCTTTTAAACCATGAACAAGACATTTTACTTGTATTAAGTTTCAATTTCTTCACTTATAAAGTGAGGATGAACCCATCTCCCTCTAACCTCTTCATTAAGAGCTATTACAAAAAAAATGAGGATGGATGTTACATTACAAAGTATAATATAAATATCCTATGTAATAAAAGGCAAGTCAACCAAACGGTAGAACAACCAGTCTCTATGACGCACACTGATCACCAGGGGGCAGTAGCTCAATGCAGGAGCTGCCCCCTCATGGTCAGTGCGCTCTCACGGGGGAAGTGCTGCTCAGACAGAAGCTCTGAGCTGGGCTCATGGCTGGTGAGCACTGCAGTGGTAGCACTCTTGCCTCCATTGCAGCGCTAAGGATGTCTGACTGCCGGCTTAGGCCCGCTCCCCGTGGCGAGCAGTCAAGATATCCCCCAAGGGTTCCCGGACTGCGAGAGGGCACAGGCCAGGCTGAGGGACCCCTGTGAGTGCACAAATTTCGTGCACCGGGCCTCTAGTTCAGTGATGGCGAACCTCTGACACCCGTGTCAGGTGACACGCGAACTCATTTTTTTGGTTGATTTTTCTTTGTTAAATGGCATTTAAATATATAAAATAAATATCAAAAATACAAATCTTTGTTTACTATGGTTGCAAATATCAAAAAAATTTCTATATGTGACACAGCACCAGAGTTAAGTTAGGGTTTTTCAAAATGCTGACACACTGAGCTCAAAAGGTTCGCCATCACTGCTCTAGTTACTGTATAATAGAATGCATGAAGGTAATGTATAGCTAAAATGATTAAATTCAGACTTGACCATGAATGGACCTAAGTTAAAGAGTATTTAGACCTGACAGGAAATAATGAACCATTAGAGGTTTTACTGAGGAAGGTGGTTCCGTGTGTACTAGTACATATAAAAACCAATGAGGTAATTGTGACTTCAAAGAAATCTAATGGCACTGTAAAAGGATGGGTAGGGGTGAAAAGAACTAGGATTAGCACTGATAGTAAGGTAAGAGCAGAGTGACTGCTAAAGGATCTGAAAAACTGCACTTAGAGTGTGGAAAACAGAAGAATTTTAACGCAAGCAGTGAAAAAAATATCTCCTTATTTTGTAATTGGAAAAGATTGAGTTTAGATGTGTTATGTTTGAGATGTCTGGAGTTATTTAAATAGAGATGTTCAAGAAGGGAGTGAAATTAAACATCAGAAGGGAGAGCTTATACTCAGAGCTGTAGACCTGGGACCAGCTGCTTAGGATGGTTGAAGTCAGAGAAGAGTGAGAAGAGTAAGGGAGAGCTGAATAAAGAACTCCAAAATCAGAAGGCTGGGCAGAGTACATTCGGAGAAAAAGAATTTAAAAAATATGAGATAAGATAATAAAGGGAATTTATTACAAATGACCATATGTTAAAAATGAAATTCAAATGATGCTCGTTTGATATTTGATACAGAAATAAATACTAAGGATTAGAGGACACTTTTGACTTAGTTTCACGTTTACAAAAATAGTATTTTCCTGATGAAAAATGTGTGAGCTCCCACAGTAAGCCTCCAGTAGTCAAAAACTTCCAAGTTGGTTAGTTGTATTCTCCTTCCATATACTCAAGACCCCGTTGCCTTCAAGCATTAACAGTCAGCAATGATGCTAATAAACCAAAAGCAACAATAGAAAGTGAATATCATTTTCTGGAGAGAAGGAAGATAATTACTTTTGTTTTTTATTATAGTCTATTTCTATTAGACTATGGTATATTCTTTAAAGTAGCAATGCAATATGACTTTCCTTAAAAATAACATATTTTAGCACCAAACAGGTTGAATTTCAGGTATTTGGGAAATTTAATCATCCAGAACACCTCATTACCTAGCAAAATAAACAGAGTTGGCATTAAGTATTATCATTTTGCCACTACGAGTAGCTCATTTACCCTTACCAAGCCAGAAATCTGAAGTCATCTTAGAGTCTCCTCTAACCTCCACCGATTATTTATTCACCCTGTTAAACAGCTCTCAGAAATGTTCCTCCACCACTATTTTCCCCTGTCCGAGTATGAAGCCATTAACTGACAGCGCCTCAAATTATAATGATCAGATTTGGGGCTCAGGGCTAGATGTTTAACATCTCATGATATACTCTGCTCTTGCAGTGCTAAAATGTTGCAAAGACAGCATGTCAATGCAAAATCAAAGAAGTGCTCCTTTGAACAAAGCACTTGCCTCTTTACAATGTCATTCTATCATCTTATCTAGGAATGCCTAGCTATTCCAGAATGTTAAGTTCTCTCTCCGACAATCCATAGGCCTGGGTCAGATTTACACCCCTTTTTATTAACATCTATGGTTAAGAAAGTTTTAAGTTGTTGGAAGTACAAAAGTAGCAAAGACCTAATCTCAATAATGTAAAATGTTCAAAAGATCCTGGTTTACATTATGGTAAGATAAAGGAAGAAATCTATTTACATAATTAAAATAAATTTACTTTATCAAGTTTTTCTTTGTCAAAAATCACCAATTTAGCATTTTGCTATAAGAAATACAATGAATTTTTAAAAAGCAAGGAGTTACCTGAGGAGAGTCAAAAGGATATCGACTACTAAACTTAAATAGAAGTTGAAATTTTTCCCCTTCATATAAGGTACCTGGTGCACCTTCCATGTCTACAATCCACCTAGAATAGAAAAAAAGAAATTAAAAACTTCAGAGAAAAGGGATTGGGGCAAGAAGGAGAAAAGATAACACGAAGAACTTCCTCTATGCCAGGTTTTGGGATAGGAGTCATTTGTGTATAATAGCATACTTCATCCTCCTAATAATTATAAAAACAGCCATTCACATTCCTGGAATGCCTGCTCAAGGGTTAAATAACTAGATCAAGGTCAGACAACTAGCAAAAGACAGAGACAAATTTTATCCCAGGTCTCAAAAAACAAACATAATAAATAATGAATGAATAAATCAAAAACAAAATAAAAACCTAACTCAGGGTGATAACAGCAAAGCCTGTGCTATTCCTACTCAATTTATCCTATCTTATTTTCTCAAGATTATTTCTATAATGACTAAGAAGATTTTATAAATAACATCAAACTAATTAACTTCCATTCTGATATCAATTATTTTAGAAGCAATGAGGGAAGTATCAGCAATGACAACTGAGAACTACAGTCATCTGACCGACGATCTCATCAGTGTTCTAAAGAAGACGAAACAGGAAAAAGAAAGCTAAGCTGACATTGGTCCATGTACTCTGATGGGCATTCAAAATTCTACATGGCTTTTCCTTAGTTTCTCATTATGTCTCAACTGTTTAATAAAACCCAGAATAGATTTCTCTGGTATCAATGCAAGCTTACTTTGTTTCCACGTATAAAAACCATGAATATAAAATAGAGACATAATTAGGAACTCATTCTTATGGCTTTGGTCCACTTTGCTTCTAAAATACTGCCCCATTATCTTTCTCATCAAAATCTCTATTTCTCTACCTTCCCCTTCTCCATTTGATTTAAAAGAAAAGAACAACAGGTAATGTATAAAATATACTTATATCTCTGCACTTATAGTAATTATTGTACACCTGACCAATTCCTTCAATGTTATGCTTTTCAGGTATAAAAATTCATTATTTTAAATACAGGGAAACAAAAGAAAGAAAGAAATGAGAATATAGTTTTGGGGTTCTATTCATCACACCACTTACTATTGATTAAGAGTATGTGAAATAATAAATGTGCCTATTCTCTCAAAGCAACAGCGAATGTGGACAGGCTTTTAAGAGCACAGCTATTCATTTTCAGAATGCATGCTGAATACATATGTGGTAAAAAAGATATGACCACAGACCCAAGAGGCAATATTTTACAGTGAAATTAGATAGATCTGCCCCTTAGATAGCTGGGTGGCCATGAGTAAGCTATTTAACCTCCCCCATTTTAACTATTTCAATTGTAAAACAGGTATTTTCAAAGTGTTGTTGGATACATAACATTACATATGCAAAAAAACCCTAGCACATTCCTGACAGCAGAGCCAGAACACAATAAATTAAATACAATGCAAAAGCTGCACTAAAAAACAAAATCTAAAACTATTCTCTTTACAAACTAGGTAGGTCCTTCCTAGCCATCAAAATCCCCTTTTAGCCCTAACTGGGTTTGGCTCAGTGGATAGAGCATCGGCCTGTGGACTGAAGAGTCCCGGGTTCGATTCCGGTCAAGGGCATGTACCTTGGTTGCAGGCACATCCCCAGTAAGGGGTGTGCAAGAGGCAGCTGATCAATGTTTCTCTCTCATCGATGTTTCTCACTATCCCTTCTCCTTTCCTCTCTGTAAAAAGTCAATAAAATATATATTAAAAAAAAAAAAATCCCCTTTTTATCCACCCCCCCTAATCTGTACAACCACTGCAAAGCGATATTCTGAGGAAAACTCAGGACTTCCTGGTAGCCTTTCATTCTGTTTTATAAGGTAATTTTTAGGACAATGTACCATAAATTTATGTGATCTACCCAAGCACAGCCTTTTAAAAAAAAGAAATCCTTGCCCAAGGATTTTTTTAATGATTTTTTTTTTTTTTTAAGGAAGAGAGGGAGAGGAAGAGGGAGAGAGAGACAGACAGACAGACAGAAAGACCCCATACCTGGGGATTGAACCCTAACCTAGGGATGTGCCCTGACCAGGAACCAATCGAACCTGCCACCTTTTGGTGTATAGGAAAATGCTCTAACCAACTGAGACACCCAGCCAGGGCTACAGCTTTTAAACAGCTAAGCAAATACCTCAATAATCCCTCCAAAGCTGGGTGACAGGTCAAAAAAGGCATAATTTTCTATTGTACAGTATACTGTACTTTAAAATAACATTTTATTAATTAAAAAGTGAAATATGATCACCATAGAAAATTTAGAAAACGTATCAATGAAACAAAAATCACCCATAGGTAATTACTGTTAAAAGTTTTTTGGGTACATCTCATTCTAGTCATTTTGTGTTGCAGTTTCTTTATCAATGGTATTGAAGACTAGTAGTTGCATTATGTGCACACTTAATTACATAAATTCAAATCATCAGTGTTTATGATTTCAATCACAAGCACCCCTCCGCCCCCCAAAGTAAGGATGAGATGGGAGCAGTCTCAGTTATTAACTTCTTGTGAGTAGCTGAGATTCTAATGTTTAAATATAGGTTTGAACTGCGCAGGTCCACTTATACGCGAGTATTTCTTCAATAAATATGTAGAGTACTGTAAATGTATGTTCCTTCTAGTCAATCTGTTTATATCTCTATTCCTTCAGATAGCACAGGGGTTTATTAGGTTAAAGGATATGATACTCGTGTTTTTAAAGGTCTTAATATATGCTACCATAATGTCTTCTACAAAGCTTAATGTGCTTTCATCATCTTTCTTATCCATATCCACATCCCATATAATCCCACGAAATAAAACTTTTGTGATTCATTTATGTTATTTTAAAAGAAAAATTACTGCCAGACAAAAATCTCTAAATGCATTATTCAAAGATAATGCATGCTGTTTTCAAAAGAAACATCAACAAAATGGCAACCAGTCAAATGGGAGAAGATATTTGCAAACAATACCTCTGACAAGGGGTCAATATCCAAAATATCCAAAATATATAATGAACTCATACAACTCAACAAAAGAACAATCCAATTAAAAAATAGGCAGAGGACCTGAACACTTTTCCCAAGAAGACATACAAATGGCCAACAGATATACGAAAAGATGCTCAACTTCACTAGCTATAAGGAAAAGGCAAATCAAAACCACAATTATATACCACCTCACGTTAGAATGGCTATTATCAATAAGATAAGAAATAATAAGTATTGCAGAGAATATGGAGAAAAAGGAACCATTATACACTGCTGATGGAAATGTAAATTGGAGCAGTCTCAATGGAAAACAGTATGGAGTTTCCTCAAAAAATAAAGAATAGAGCTACCATATGACCCAGCAACTCCTCTTTTGGGTATCTACCCAAAATATTTGTAAAGATATAGGTATTCCTATGTTCACTGCAACATTATTCAGTGGCCAAGACATGGAAACAACTTAAATGATCTTTGACTGATGACTGGATAAAGAAGATGTGGTATGTATATACAAGTGAATACTACACTCAGCCATAAAAAAAAGATGGAATATTGCCATTTGAGACAACATGGGTGGATCTTGAAAGCATCATGCTAAGTGAAATAAGTCACATAGAAAAGGACAAGATCATAAGATTTTATTCATATGTGGAACATAAAACAAAAACAACAAAAGAAAAAACAAAATAAACTCACAGACACAGACAACAGCATGGTAGTTACCAGAGGGGAAAGGGGGAGGTCGAAGAGGGTAAGGGGGGAAGAATACTAGATTTTGGGTGGTAAGTACACAATAAAATATAGAGATGTTATATTATAAAGTTGTACACCTGAAACATATATAATGTTAATAACCAATGTTACCCCAATAAAATTAAATTTTTTAAAAAAAGTAATGCTGGCCCAGCTGGTATGGATCAGTAGTTGATCATCAACCTATGAACCAGGAAGTCATGGCTCAATTCCTGGTCCAATTCCCAGTCGGAGCACATGCCTGGGTTTCGGGCTTGGTCCCCAGTGTGGGGCATGCAGGAGGCAGCCAATCAATGATTCTCCCTCAGCATTTATGTTTCTCTCTCTCTCTCCCTCTCCCTTCCTCTCTGAAATCAATAAAAAAATATTTTTTTTAAAAAAGAGACTGTTATAGAACTAGAGATGTGCATTGCATTTTCAAACATCAATATATCCATCTAAATATCAACATATTAATTGCCCATATTCCTGTTCTTCATGTTTGACTCCTGCCTTAATAACTCAAATGTCAAAGTGAAAGGTAACGAAGTTTTTTCTTCTAGAAGGACGAGTATGACCCCCAACCCTCCATTGTGTGAATTTTGGTTACTTTTGCTCTCTCAACCTAAAATATCCTATATAATAAAAGCCTAATATGCTAAGTGTCTGGTCAACCTGTTGGCCATTCAATCAAAGCATAATATGCTAATGATATGCTAAGGCCACTCAACCACTCGCTATAACGTGCACCAGTGGGGTCCCTCGGCCTGACCTGCGCCTTCTCGCAATCTGGGACCCCTCAGGCGATGTTGGAGATACGGTTTCGGCTCATCTCACAGGCCAGACCGAGGGACCGTTTAGTCACAATTCAATATTTGAATTGTCCTTATTTGTCCTACAAGATGGTCTATGGTAAACTTGTAGGCTTCTATCCTTTTTATGTTTTTCTGGAGATTTTTTTTAAAGGAAAGGAGCAATTATTTTATATTTTCCCCCTATTTCAGAACATTCGCCCTTAGTTAACAGAATTATTAAATCACAGGAACAGTAAGAATAGACCATACTAGGTTGTGAGATCTTAGAATGATACTCGTGAAAATATTTTAAACTAAGTCAAATTCATTTTTAAGAGAGGGGACGCATCTCTCTCTACTCTTCTTGGTATCATATCTGGGAAGATACTTCTGCTCCACTCCCAAGGTGCTGAGTTAGAGAGAATACTTGTGTTCCCTTCCACCCTTCACTTTTTCATGCACAGAGTAAGGTCTGTTAACTGTATTTACCGCTTGCTGGAAGAGAAGTGATGAAATATGAAAACAATTATATATTTAATAAAATAAGTATACATTTATACATTACACTGATAATAAAATAAACTAAGTACTTTAAAAATTAAGTACTTACTGTGTAATTGAATTTTGAACACTCTTTTCATTTAAAGTCATCCCAGGAGGTGGGTCATTTTGCAAAGCCAACAGTTCTTTCTGCAGTCGTTTCTGGAAAAAAATACCAATAATAATTTGTACCTTTTTGTTATATGTCTAAATATATTTATAAAAATTGATGTTGTAAAGGGTTATGAAGAGCAGCCAGCTATCTACAAAACTTCATAGCTATTTCATGGAGGTTTGTAAGGTCTCAGCCTAGGTTATAAGTGTTGAGTGTTAGTAGTGCTTCTTTTACTGTTTTTCAACTATAAATATAATCCAAAAGAACATGTCATTTCAGACATGAATAAGTTTTAAATAGTTATTTATAATTTACAACCCATATTTCTGTTTTCTTAAATATCATCACCTGCACATTTTTAACCTTTCAACACCAGAATATAACATATCAGGGCCCAAGATATGTAAATTTATTTTCCGATATAACAGATGCCCCCAAATGGCTATGTATTTTGCCTTCTTATTTGTACAGCTTTTATTGTCCAACTCTTCAGTTATTATCACTAGTGTACATTAATTTATAGTACACAACAACAAAAAACTCACAGAAGCTCACAATTTATGGGTTTAAAATCCAAATAATTAGAATTGTATGCAACATTATAAAGATTATGAATAAACATCTTTTCTTGGATTAGACAAACATAAATATCTGTTCAGAACTCAAGAACTTGCTGCTTAAAAGCTAGTATCAAAAAAAAGAGCTAGTATCTACTTTTGTCTGGACAAATATTACTATCAATATAGCAATGTTTCTAGATCTTTTCAATATATGACATCTTTAAATAAGCTTAACATAACCCAACACAAATACAGTTTAGAAAACAACTCCCCTTCTTTGTTGAGAATCACTGTAACAGAACTTATAAATGGCTCTTTAGTTGCCAAGAATGAAAAGTTTTCCTCAGACCTTGCAATATCATAATTGAAAGTAATGATGAAAATAAGATATCAACTACATACAATTCCCCCCAATCCCATTCTGACCACACCCCACATTATCCAGCAAAAGGGTTTGTTTTGGCAATTATATCATGTTATTTTGGTGTAACAAACTCCAACTCATCTCCAGTGCTGGCATTACATTGACTAACATTTACTGCTTCATGTGCTCTTTTAAAAATCTATTTATTATTGACTAGAGGACCGGTGCACGAACTTTGTGCACTCGGGAGGGGTGGCGTCCCTCCGCCTGGCTTGCACCCTCTCACAGTCCAGGAGCCCTTGTGGGATGTCCAACTGACAGCTTAGGCCCGGACCAGTCAGACATCCTTAGCACTGCCATGGAGGCAGGTGAGGCTCCCGCCACCACTGATGCACTTGCCAGCCGTGAGCACAGCTTCTGGTGCACTGACCACCGGGGACAACTCCTATATTGAGCATCTGTCCCCTGGTGGTCAGTCTGCATCATAGCGACCAGTTGTTCTACCATTCGGTCATTTTGCATATTAGCTTTTTATTATATAGGATTGACTGATTGATTTTAGCGAGAGAGGAAGAGAGAGGGAGAAATATCAATTTCCTATTCCATTTATTGATGCATTCATTGATTGATTCTTATATGTGCCCTGTATGGGGATCAAACCTGCAACCTTGGCATGTCGGGATTACGCTCTAACCAACCGGGGGACTTTCTCAATGTCATCAGCAATGTGCAAAAGTGTTTGTTTTCTTTGCAATCTTGCCAGAACTAAAGGTAATCATCCTCATCAATTTCTGTAAAGTTGGCAAAAAAAAATATTCTACCTTGCTTGCTGTTTTAATTTATACTGCTAATGGCTACTTGAATAAATTTTTGTTGTCTACTAACTTAAAATCTGTAAGACTTTCCCAGTTTGTCATTTGCCCTTTATTTTTATTTTTTTAAAATATATTTTATTGATTTTTTACAGAGAGGAAGGGAGAGAGATTGAGAGCCAGAAACATCAACGAGAGAGAAACATCAACCAGCCGCCTCCTGCACACCCCCCACTGGGGATGTGCCCGCAACCCAGGCACATGCCCTTGACCAGAATCGAACCCGGGACCCTTCAGTCCGCAGGCCGACGCTCTATCCACTGAGCCAAACCGGTCTCGGCTCATTTGCCCTTTAACTTTGACGTTTGCCATGCACACACTTAAAAGTTATATTATTAAATATATTTTTTTAAAAAATCAAATAAATGACGATTTCATTAAAAAAAAGAACCTGAAATTTAAATTTGGTTAAGTTATTTATTTCATGTGTCCATTTTATTTCCCTTTTTAAGGTCTGGATGAGACTTCTTGGGAAGCCTCTAAGAACTTTACTGTGGGCTACATGGGGCATTAGAAGCCAGAGCACTCATCCTCCGGACTCCTTCCCAGTGTCTGGAGGTGCTATCGAACCACAGACCCTGCCAGGAGCTTCCCTAAGGCAGTAGAGTCGGGCCAGGGGGCCACTAGGCAGGCCCTAATTTTTTCTTTAAAAAAAATTTATTTTAGAATCATGTCTTTCTGTATATTAACTTGGGGAATATCAGTTAATATTTAGGAAATAAGATTTGAGGTCAGCCATCTTCCAAAAAAAAATTTTTTTTGCTCATTTAAAAAAGTACAAGTTAACTATACACCTTTTATCCATGAGTTTAGGAATTGTAGTGATATGACTTAGAAAGCATAATGGCCTAAGTATTTTCAAAATATAAGTTCATGTGGAAAAGAATTTTGTTTATGTGTGTGGAGGAAACCTATAGGTTTAAAATAATACGTCAGCCAACGATTTAAAAGACCTTTAATTGTTTTGTTTTTGAAGCCACCCTTGTCTTCCTATGAGGAAGAATTGAGAGGGGATGATTCTCTGTGTAAAACTCCAAATTGGTGGTGTTGACTTTTGAGCTTGAACATTTTCAGACTTGATTAAAACTTGGTTTATTCTAATTTCTGTCTCAAGAGTTTTTTTTATGTGGTAACTAGTCTTATAACATGTATGTATCATATGTTTGTTCATCTAAAGCTTTTTAATCCAAATAAAAATGGAGTTTGCAAAGTGAAAAAAAAAATTAAATTTCACTGTGCTGGAAATGAAAATCTGTTTAGTCTTTGAAACACATTATTTGGCTTTCAGTAGACCACAGTCCTGATTTTTCTCCTTTGTGACCACTCACTCCTTTTGGGCACTACTGTACCCCGAAAGCACGAGGAAGTGATTTATACATTTGCCTCTCTTTAGGCTATGGGCTTTTAAAAAACAGTCTTGTAGCTTTTTGCATTCCAATCTGATTTTTGAAGATGTCAATTTAAAATAAGAATGAGTAGCTTCATTTATTGACGGCTTTCCATTTCCTAAGGGGGGGAAAGTTTCAATAAGTTATTAGGAGTTAAGGTCTCTAGAAGTGTATTTAGAATTCAGTAGGAAAGAAAACATTTTCTTAATATGCCTGAATCAGTATTTTAAAATAAAATTTTATTGCTTAGCATCTCACCCAGAAATAAATGGCAATTGTTATAATTATTTTTTAAATATATTTTTATTGATTTCAGAGAGGAAGGGAGAGGGGGAGAGTTAGGAACATCAGTGATGAGAGAGAATCATTGATTGGCTGCCTCCTACATGCCCCCTACTGAGGATTGAGCCCACAACCCAGGCATGTGCCCTTGACCAGAACTGAACCCGAGACCCTTCAGTTTGCAGGCTGATGCTCTATCCACTGAGCCAAACCAACTTAGGGCTGTTATAATTATTACTATATTGCCGGGGAGGGGGAATAGTGGTTGTTATTGTCATGATATTAATGAGCACCAACAAATTTTTTTCCAATCTTGCTCCTCTATTATCCTTTCATCTTTAGTTTGTTGTTAGATGAAATTGGAAAGAAAACTTACTGGCCATTGTATGTACTGCTGTATTAGCAAGCTTTGTCATATATATATATATATATGGCTACATTTTTAGTATTTTCCCTCATTTGTTTCTTCCTATGTTAAACAAGGATTTCTATCTTTTAGAATAGTTTCTTAAATCTGTCACTTTGAGATAAAACTTCACAAGATGTGAGGCCTAACTCCCCATCCCCTTAAACTTGCTCCATTTCTCATCACATTTTAATATACCATATACTTACTTGTTTTGTTATTACTGACCATCTTCCCCCTCTCCCCCATCATTTAAGCTTTACAGGCCCAGGAATCTTGTCAGTTTGTCCCTTTATGCATTGCCATTGTTAGTATCTAAGAGGAATATATTCTGTTCTTTTTTTTGTTTGTTTAAAATATATTTTTATTGATTTCAGAGAGGAGAGAAACAGCAATGCTGAGAGAGAATCAATGATCAGCTGCCTCCCACATGCCCCACACTGGGGACCAAGCCCACAACCCGGGAATGTGCCCTTGACCAAAATCAAACCCAGGACCCTTCAGTCCGCAGGCCGATGCTCTATCCACTGAGCCAAACTGGCTACGGCTTGTTCTGGTTTTGATTTATAATGACAGAACTATCATTTAAATGTTTTGTGCCTTGGTTTCAACATACATTAGTGTGGGATAATACTTATATAAATGCATTAGTTTAGAAGCTGAACTACTTTATATATTAACTAGGGGCCCGGTGCACGAAATTCGTGCACTGGGTGTGTGTGTAGGGGGAGTGTCCCTCAGCCCAGCCTGCCCCCTCTCACATACTGGGAGCCCTCAGGCGTTGACCCCCATCACCCTCCAATTGCAGGATCGGCCCCTTGCCCAGGCCTGATGCCTCTGGCCCAGGCGTCAGGCCTGGGCAGGGGAACCCCAGACCCCTCCGACTGCTGGCTCTGCCCCTTGCCCAGGCCTGATGCCTCGGCCAGAGGCGTAGACCCCCATCACCCTCCGATCGCCTGATCGGCCCCTTGCCCAGGCCTGACGCCTCCGCCAGAGGTGTCAGGCTTGGACAGGGGACCCGCATCTCCCCCAAATCACTGGCTCTGGCCGCCGCCAAGGCCTGAGGCCTCTGGCCCAGGAATCATGCCTGGGCAGGGGACCCCCATCTCCCTCTGATCGCTTTCTCCACCCCCCGCCCAAGCCTGACGCCTCTGACCCAGGCTTCAGGCCTGGGC